CTCTCAAGTGAAAAAGTTGATTGGTTGGTTTGGTTGCTGTACTCAGCGATATTCCAGCTATATGGCATCAGTCTGTAAATAATCGAGTCTGGACCAGATAATCCAGTGATCAACAGCATGAGCATCGATCTGCGCAATTGGGATACAATGACATGTACCAACCAAGTCAGCAAGCCTGACCACCGATCCCGTAAGTCGCCTTTTATGACAAGCATGAGTTAGTGAAGACCAATTCTATCCCGGATGTTCACGTGTATGAGTGTTATGCCAAATATAACATAAGTTAAACATTAACTGTTGATTTTGCTATAAACCACCAGTGTGCCCAGACTCAGGCCATGAAGTGTTGCTTAGTGACTCAGAAAGTCATTGATCTCATCCAGTTCACAGTTGTACATTATGAGTCTGAATTACAAGGTAGCGAGATGATAATGGTCCCAGCACCTTGTGACTCTATACATGAACTGGCAGCCACCCTGGATGCACCAGGCAGACTACAGATGTACTCCTCTAGCTCAGTGTCCTGCTCCACTGACATAATGGTGATGGATCTGTGACGTCCTGCACGGGAACGAACAAGTGTATTTGCATAAACACACACAGTAGCTATTGATCCAAGATTTGCGTCTCAGTGCTTGCACTCATGACACCAACCAAATGATTGAAACACATTGGGGGGTCATTTCAAACTTTACAAGGTAATTCTGTTCCCCTCTGGAGAAATTGGTTTTAGAAATGTTTATCAATCCATCATTCAATCACAGATATTTACATCACTGGAAGTTACGTTTGTTTGACAAAATTAGATTTCAGTTCGCTTCAAACTGATTAAAGGGTAAAGGAACAATTGCCCTTTTAAGGTTTAACAGTTAATTTGAACCTGAAGAGCCTAATTCTTGATGCTCTTCAGGTGCTTTATTAGATAAGGAAATTTATGCTTTCATGACTTCAAGGAAGAGTACCTGGAGGGATGATTGGGAGGTGTTGCTGACTTTTATATGGTCCCTTCTGAACTGAGCAAGATTCTGCTTCCATGCTAATCATTAAAAGATTGGTATGTTAGCAGTGATTTAAGCAAATGAAGACTTGTCTCAGAAGAATCCAATCAAGTTTGCTCAAAACTAACAACAGTCAGTAGGAGCAACATTATATCTGTCCTTCTGAGAAAATGCTGCCCTTTAAAGTTTGCTAATTAAATTTATTTGAAGTGTTCGGGAAAGCTTGTTATGTGTCTTTCCTGGGCATACCAGAAGTTGGGCGTACTACCAGCCTTTGTAGTGACACAAGCCATTTTCACTGTTGATCATTACGACACAGATGAAGACTCTGGTGCTGGCATAAGTGTCATCCCAGAGTGGGTGAAGTGACGAGAGTGTTGTCGTAATAGCATGACCTCTCCACCATCACTGTCAACTCTGTTGTGATCAGGGCTGAAGTACATTCAATAACGAACATGTTTCTCGGTATGAGCTCCTTCAACCACCCAGTCTATCAGTGCCCGAAGCTAATCTATTGTGTTGTACGTACTTAGAGCGTAAAATGTCACCACCGTATGGCCAAATGGTGGTAATTGACTTTGATGTTCTGGGTCCTGACTGGAGTTGAACTATTCCCGGAACATGGTCGGAGGGCTGCAGTCTGATGCGGTAATCCCACAGGCCATGTATTGGATGTGTAGATGTAAAACATCAGGTAGAGTGGAGGAGAGGAAAGAGACATTACCACAGCAGCTTTTCACTCATCCCTGAATAATTGATCCAGTGTCTGCAGAAACACATTACTTAAGTTCCTATTAGTTGCATACGTTACATAAGTTTCGTTCTCTCGCCAAATGACTGTTTAGGTAACCAAATTTTCGTCATCTCCCGTCTTGTAGCTGTCATGTGAGACCAACTCGGTGGCCACGTGGATGGATTGTCTGCCTGGAGAGCAGAATGTTGATGCCAGTGGTTGCCAGTTTCTTTCCGCATTGACTATAAAATACTTTTGTATGCGTACAAGTGTTTTCACAAAATTGCTCCACAGTACCTCACTGAACTACTCAACATGTATTGTCCCCCGAGACTTCTCAGATCACGAAAGCAAAAACTTTTCACCATTCCCAAAATTCAGACCTCAACTTTTGGCAAGAGAACATTCAAATATGCAGCTGTAGAACAATGGAACTGTCTATGCAAAACCTTAAATCTGCCTCTTCACTTGAATCTTTCAAGTCACAATTAAAGACTGTTCTCTTCTCCCTGGCTTTCCCTTGCTAAGCACACAAAGCATAGGACTGTGAATGATGCGCTATATAAATTCATGAATTATTATTATTATAATTATGTTATCACTTGGCCATGTGATATACGAAGATGTTGAATGATGGTACTTGTTGTTACCCTGCCTGCTGTTTGCCATTGTGAGGTTAAAACAAGAACTGGTTGGTTAGAGTTGGTGTTCAGTGTCTGAGTAGGGTACCCATAGCAAACTGCAGCCTGGTATCTCAGTTGGTTAGCTCTATTAAGCCAGCATAGGTACCGACCAGTACAAGCAGTCACATACAGTTATGTTTCTCTGTATTGGGAAAGGGAAGTGGGGTAGCCTTGTGGTTTAAGCGTTCACTTGTCACGCTGAAGGTACAGGTTCGATTCCCCACAATACAAGGTGTGAAGCCCATTTCTGGTGTCCGCCACATTGATATTGGTGGAATGTTGCTAAAAGCAGTGTTAAACTAAACTCACTCTCCCTCACTATATTATTGGAATAATATTGAAAATGACCCTTCACTCAATATGGAATGAGCTGGTGATGTTAAACCCTTTCGATGAACTTTACTGTCCAGTGTGTGGTTTCCACAGCCAGAACTGACCAGAAGGGATTCCAGGTTAGAATTATTCCCCAGCATCCCATGCCTGTGTTACACTGAATATGAAACCAGTGCTCAGTGTCAGCAGGATGGTTGACTGTGTATCATCATCCACCAATGACACGGGACACTGGTTGTAATATAAATCACAGGATTTGGGCTGCAATATCCCCCAATTGTGACAGGTCTTATAGGTAGACAGCAGCTTACCCAAATCAGATTGGCAAGACAAATACTCAGATGTATCCATGGATCTATCATTATTCTGGATTTTTACTGATTTTACAGAACAAACTTTGCAGCTAATGGCTTTGTGTTTATCCTGTGCAATATGAAAGTATTTCATTTTTGACCATTTCATCTTAAAGAAACAATTTGTATCAAATCACTATCACAATTAAATGTGGAAAAAATAATTATTTGGAGATCAGGTGTGTTGGAGCTGCATCATGTGGAAATGATTTGAGGCATGATGATGATGATGATGATGATGATGATGATGATGATGATGATGATGATTTAGTTCAGTTAGTAGTGACTTCTGTAGACAGCATGTGGTGTGGTTTTGGGTTTTTGTGCCCCAAAGTATATCAAGCATTTGTTCTGAATGCATAGTTAGTTTTGCATGAAACTTTGTAGACATGTGCCATACTGTGCAAGACTAGTGAGTTGTTACACATGACCTTGCTTGAATTCCACATACATATCGTTATTGTATGTTTATATATCAGGCAATACATATCCCATTGAAATGATAGGTATCGTGTTTGATGTTTACTACCAGATCAGGTTTTGGTCATGAGAAAACCGGGCCGTAGGGTAGCCTAGTGGTTAAAGCGTTCACTAGAAGACCCAGTTCAATTCCCCATATGGGTACAATGTGTGATGCCCATTTCTGGTATTCCCAGCCGTAATATTGCTGAAATATTGCTGAAATATCGCCCAAAGCGGGGTAAAACCATACTCGCTCACATGTTTGGTGAAAGTATGTTGACAAGCAGGATGTGTTGTGGTTGTGGCTAGGGCAGCTTTGTATATATTCTAGTTCAGTTTATGGTCAAATCAGCCTTAATGCAAGGGGTGTCAAACTGATTTGATAGGTCAGAGGGATGTCTTACTGATTTGATACTTCTAGTTTTGAACAAGGTCATGGGGTAGCTTAGTGGTTAGAGTGATCGCTCATCAGGCCAAAGATCCAGGTTCGATTCCCCGGTGGGTTCAGTGTGTGAAGCCCATTTCTGGTGTCTCCTGTCATGATATTACTAAAAGCTATGTTAAACCATACTCATGGACTCTTATTTTGAACATTGTTTATGACATATGGTGCATATGTTCTGATCTCAAATGATTTTCACAGAGGGACCTCGCAGTTGCTTCGCTTCGGCCTGACGTCTGTCAATGGTTGTTTCTCACTAGTTTCTGTTTAAGTATTTACTACTATGTCATCCCCAAGTTGGAATCCTGGTCAGAGTAGCCCCAGGTGATACCATGTTTTAAAATGGGTATTGGATGATCAATATGTCTCTCAAGAACAGGTACCTATGTGTCTATTACTGACTTCAAGCTGGCTGAGAGGCAGTATGGTAGCCTAGTGATTAAAGCATTTGCTCGTCATGCCAAAGACCCAGGTTCGAATCCCCACATTGGTACAATGTGTGAAGGCCATTTCTGGTGTCCTATGCTGTGATACTGTTGGACAATTGCTAAAAGCAGCGTAAAGCCCAACTCACTCATTCACTCACTCACTCGAGCTGGCTGATGTAAGGTTCGTTTGATCTGGATGAAGTATTACTAACTCTTAGTCTTACCCTAGTGGCCACTGGACTAGTTTTATATTTAGCACTAAGATCTTTTATGAACCCTGCCCCAAGCTCAATGACTTGTCGTGTCATCGAACAATAAAGTCAGCCACTGATTTTCCTGGGTAAGACACTGCTACACTATGGAGACCACCATGATGTTGCTGAAATTGAGCTAAATGTCATTAACTGTACACAGTTTGCACCGATTCCACCTCCCTACTTAGTCGTTCTGACACTGCATCTCTCCAGATGCCGCCACTGTAGTGCAACACATTTAGCTTTTTGTTTTCAATTCCTTCGTGGAGGTGACATTAAATGATTATTTTCCTCTTTTTTGTGTGTGTGCTTAGCAACTGGCAAGCGTAAACTGCCGTTGGAAGGTACATATGCTTATGTTACTTAGCATGTTGCTTGTTGACCCCTCTTTAAGACACTCAAACCTCCTCGGGGATAGAGACAGCTCACAGCTAATGTTTAATGGACATGTAGATCTAACCCAGAACCTAACTCTAACTCATTTCTCATTTGCTGTAATCACATCTCTGTCTCTTCAAGATAATGTTAAAAGAAACATGGCCATTTTCGAAAAGTAATTTGCAAATATTACAAAGGGTTGTAATTCATCTGATCAATAAACGAACGTGTTATAGATGAGGAATTGACATCATATTCAGGTTTGTATAATCTCCTGAGGCATGTCCACAATACTAACATAACAAAATATTACTGCATCTTGCGTACAGTTATATGATCCTTTCTAACCATTTGATTCCATATTTGCACAGCAGTGCTGATTTTCACATGCATTCATATATCGCTAACCTTCAGAGATGAAACAGTTGCTTGCCTCAAATACATGACACCTGACATTTAAAACATTGCTGCCAATGTAAAGAAAATAACACATATCGATCAAAATAGAAATGTGTATTCACAAAATGAGTTGATGAAGAAGTCATTTGTCATTAGTGATGTTGAACAGAACATATTTTGAAACAAAACCTTATCCAAAACATTTTGTCATGTTTTCTCTGTCAAACAGAGTCCAGTTTCTCGCAATTCTAATTCAGTTTAATTTGTAATCTTGATCAAATGTAGCAAGTAATAGCAAATGTGACTTGGTTTTCTTGAAGACACATCAGATAACATGTACTTCAAGTGTCTTACCAGTTTTCCTCCTTGCAACCTCAGAAAGGTGACAATGTAGGGATTATAGGTTAAAATAGGTTCCCTTCATCGCAGGATAGACGTAAGAGGTGGCCAGATGTGTACCCAGTCAGACTTACTGTCATCATCTTGGCGGCATGGATCGTTGTCACAGTGTCAATCACTGGATTGTCTGATCCAGACTTGATTATATAGAGGCAGCCAACTTATTGCTGGAATATTGGTGAAAGCGGTGTTTAACAGAAAACAAACACCTGAAAGAAATTTTTTATCTTTCAAGCAGATTTTTATTGAAACATTTCTTGAGTAGGTTTGAGTGACTTTGTACTCTGTATTTAACCAACTTCCCTTGCATGGTAGATAGAAGTCGCACTCACACATTGGACAAAAGTCTACACTTGTTTATTCATCCTTATCTGCTTTCTGTGATAGATCAGGGTAGAAGAAATAATGAATTCAGCAGAATGAAACAACGAAATAACGCTGAGATATTCAACATGATAATCTGCCCAAAACATTTCATGTCAAACACATTATGAAAAATTGTTTTTCATGTGTACGTCTTTTTGTATCAATAATTGACATAGTATAGTACTTTTCCATCAATCTTTTACATAGATGATTGTCTTAAGTACTGTTGTATCAAAGACTGCATTCAGTAAAGTATTTGTACAAGTTATAGAAAATAAGTGGAGTATACTAATACTTTTGTCCAATGTCTGATGCAGATGGTGATGGTCTGTGATGCACCTTGTGTTTAGAAGTAGTTGCAAGCTTGCAGATAGTGCTACTTGTTGCTGTTCTGTGTGGATACTGTCTACAGCCAGCATACAGAGCACACACAGATTGTACAGAAAACATATGTATGATTGTATTTCAGTTCAATACAACTGGACAATAAAGAGCAGAAATATGCCTCATATCACATTGTTATGATAACCCATATGCAGCACCACATATAATGGGATATAAGTATTATCACATGGTCATTTAGAGTGTATTCTTGTGATTGCGTCTCAATATTTATAATTAACAGCTTGTATTTAGCATAGCACTATATCATACTGTATTTTGGAACTGTTGCCAGGTTGTATTCTTGGCGTTGTACTTGGTATTCTTGGTACAGTGTTGGAGAGTTTGTTTCTGTTTGCCCAAATAATATAACATGTCAATCAATTATGCATAAACATCTTGTTCTTAAATGTTTTAATGTGATGGTGAAATATAAATCCTGACTTTAATAGAAAGCAGTACTGATGTGACACATGTCTTTGTGTTTATGTGTCCCTTGTGTCTGTGGATGGGGTGTGTGGTGGGGGAACACAGTTAGCCAGGTGTTAAATGCTCCGCAATTTGCTGTGAAGAGTTAAATGCCTTGGGCACTCCAGAAACTACCAATGTTGGTTCTAATCCCCGTTTGAACGATTTTGTCTCAAGGTTTTTGATTTTGACATATTTATTCAAGAGAATGGATTGGGTACAAGTTATTCCAACTTAGTGAAACCTTCTCCTATTTACAGTGGTTACATGCAAAAGTGAAACAAACTATATGTACAGGGAAAGAAAGATATATACAAAAGGAGAATAAGACATTTAAAATAAAGTAATACAATGAATACATGAATTATTTGGATCATTAACATAAAGGATTTTCAGACCTATACACAATCTCATTGGTTTTGCTAAAGTGGAAAACGTCCAAGACTTGCATCATTTCAAGCTTCTCTCCCACCTGCAAAACGCCATTGAACAAACTCACTTGCCCTCAAGTTTCCCACCTTCAAAACACCATTGAACAAACTCACTTGCCCTCAAGTTTCCCACCTTCAAAACACCATTGAACAAACTCACTTGCCCTCATGTTTTGCACCTTCAAAACACCATTGAACAAACTCACTTGCCCTCAAGTTTCCCACCTTCAAAACACCATTGAACAAACTCACTTGCCCTCATGTTTTGCATCTTCAAAACACCATTGAACAAACTCACTTGCCCTCATGTTTCCCACCTTCAAAACACCATTGAACAAACTCACTTGCCCTCATGTTTTGCATCTTCAAAACACCATTGAACAAACTCACTTGCCCTCAAGTTCTTTCTTCCAGCTCACTGAAGCATTGATCATCATCTCAAACATAGAAGTTCAGTTACCAAACTTAATAAAATGTGTAGAACTCAATGTGAAATGTTGCTGTTAGTAACATATGTATAGCATAGTGATAAGCAAAGAGTAATCTCTTGGTAATCAATAACAAGGTTGGCGCTTTAGTTGCTCTTGTCAGATTTACAAGATTCAACCGTCTTACTTTATGTATGAAATGCAATCATGAGACTAGTTCCTGTAATTAAAGTTCATTAAAGCATTAACTACAAAATTATTCAATACATCAGCTACTGTCAAATATTAATTGTTACTTGAGACCAAAAGTAAAACGAAGTCTTTACGTCCTGGAATAGCCATGGTGGCATAGTGTTTCACTGATGAAATATTCAAGCCTTTTGCCACCTGAGCTGTTGCTTCTGTCATGCAAGACAAGACTGAAGAGAAAATGTGTAACTAAAATACCTTTCTGAGGCTCTATGTTCAGACCTGTCTTGAGTTTCCTGCAATTTATAATTCGAGGTGTCTTCTGTATCATTTAACCATGCTCCCTGTCAATAGTAGAGAAATCTAAAGGATAGGTTTTCAGTCTTGATTTCATTTATAAAGGTATTTAGTAATAGTCACTGGATCAGAATGAACAGTTAAGTCACAACCTTGGATCATGGCCAAATAACGTATTAAAGAAAATCTGCTAATAATATATTTTTATGATGGTGAAACTTTTGATAAAAATACATGTGAGACTGGAACAATAATGTATTTCCACATGCCTGACAACCTTTCATTTTTAAAGGAAGAAATGATAGAATTCTTTTATCATTTTTGTTGTTACTGATCACTCTCGGTATAAAGAAAATCCAGAAAGGCCAGATATTAGGTCAGGAGGGCCAAATGTCAAACTACTGGGACGTTATTTGTCATATGATTCATTATATCATATCAAATTAATCACATATTTTTCAATAATATGGATATGAATATGATTACTGCGTTCAAAAAAGATTCACCAGTGAAGAAATCCAATATTTTATTTATGATTTTAATAATGTTATTTCTCAAAAGACACCATTGTAATGTAACATGTAATTATTTATGTGGCAACTCACTTGGAATTGGTAAATAATATCCACCATGTTCAAAGACATCTGTATTGATTTTGGTATAAATCAAATGTAAGAGACAACTGTCTGTATATTTTATTAATGATTCCTACTGATGGCTGGGAGATGACTCCCGGGCTCGTTGATTGATTGGTTTCAGTGCTAGAGTGTCTTCCGTATTTGGTAGGGTACACCAAACATTCAGGCCTCACATGAACATCTTCTATCCTTGGTGGGGCGGTGGGGTAGCCTAATGGTTAAAGCGTTGGCTCGTCACGCCGAAGACCCGGGTTCGAATCCCCACATTGGCACAATGTGTGAAGCCCATTTCTGGTGTCCCCAGCCATGATGTTGCTGGAATATTGCTAAAAGTGGCGTTAAACCAAACTCAGTCAGTCTATCCTTGGTGTTGAACATATTATGGGTGAGTGAGTGAGTTTGGTTTTATGTCGCTTTTAGCAATATTCCTGCAATATCATGGCAGAGGACACCAGAAATGGGCTTCACAAATTGTACCCATTTGGGGAATTGAACCTGGGTCTTCGGCGTGACGAGCGAGCGCATAACTACAAGGCTACCCCACCACCCCTGAACATATTATGATTAATGATTTCTCCTGATGGCTGGGAGATGACTCCCGGACTTGCTGATTGATTGCTTTCAATGGTAGGATGTCTTCCATATTTGGTAGGGTACACCAAACATTCAGGCCTCACATGAACATCCTCTGTCCTCAGTGTTGAACATATTATGAGCTAATCTTTTCACGAGTTAGGCTATAGGTGTAGCTATGCTTAGAAATAGAAATAGAAATATCTAAACTGAAAAGCATTGTTTTTAAGTGACTAAATGCAAATGTGTATGTTGACCAAAATGAATTTGCTAAACAATATTAATAAAAAGAAAAACATTTTATTTTATTTTTTTATTTTTTATTTTGGGATCTATTTGACTCATGGATTCTTTAAAGAAGGGACAGAACTCATTCTCTGCTCAAAATCCCCTTTATATTGTATACAATATGTCACACTCCAAAACAAGATTATCTGTGAACCAAAGTTTGTGAAAGTTGATAAAAACAAAAGTAATTGTACACAATAGTTTCTATGCCTGGGCCTAGATTTTCGAAGCTCTCTCAGGGCTAAGATCGTCGTAAGTTAATGTTAATGTATGGCACTTACGACCATCTTAACACCAGGAGAGCTTCGAAAATCTGGGTCCAGGAAAGCAGTTAAATGCGATAAACTGTATATTTACACACAAAAATAATGTATTATACAGTGTTCACGAATAGTTTTTCAAAGTCACAGGACATTGGGTCCTGTAAGTTTCAGATGTCTGTCTGACCCATTGAAAATGCACAGGACCCATGGAATAAAATTATACACACATTTCAGATTTAATATTTCTTATAATTGACATTGCTGTTTATAAATCTTATGTTTGTTAATAATTTCAAACAAGTGTCTCATGTCACATAAAACAACTTCAGTCAAAGTCATTGTGAAATATACAGTCAGACACTGGGGCTGGCGGGTTGTAGACTTCTGTCTGACCGTTGGCGAATCTGCCGGATTTGTCAGAGGGTAAGACGCTATTCGTGAACACTGTATTATATTGCTGGAATATTTCTAAAATGCTGTTAAAAGCAGCTTAAAACCTCACTCCCTCACCCACCCTTTAGAGGCCGAAGTATACGGTATATGAACAGTGGATGATGATAAAGAAAAGAAGTCATGTGACATTTCCACCATGTCGTCATTAATGTGTATCAGAAGCATGGCATTGATTTCTCATTTGGAAGAAAACAGAAAGCCCAAGTAGATTCTGAAGATGCTGAATGAAATATCATGTATCTACATCATTAATAATTACGGGTAATTGCAATGATTTATTATGGCTTTCAGGTTTCTTTTGATCTTTTTTAATACAAATCAACTCGTCAGTATATTACAGATTCAAGAAAAGTGTCAAAAGAGTAGGAAAATGAAATAAAGTGATATCTTAGCCCATTTAATGAAGTGAAATGTTTTATCATGAAAACACTTTTCTGGATAATGATATTAGTTTGGTTTACTGTTATGTTAATCTGTGTTGGTCTGTCTCCAAGACCCAAGAAAATAAAATAATAAATGAATTTAACCTAACTCTGGAATGATTGTTTGAAATTCAGCCTTACTGGATTTTATTTTGTTCATAATTGTTTTATAAAACCATATTTTACATGTCTCTACTTGAATCTCAAGGCAAGTGCTGTTTTGGTATGTAGTCTTTGAGTACTAATGATGGGAACACGAAAAACATTAAATGCAGCATCAACCACAAATCACTTTCCACCAAGATCCATATTTTACATGTCTTTACTTGAATCTCAAGGCAAGTGCTGTTTTGGTATGTAGCCTTTGAGTACTAATGATGGCAACACGAACCCAGACAACTGATGAATGCAGCCTGCCATGTAGGCACCACAGACACTTTAGTCTATACCTCATTACCGTTTCCTTCCAGTAACCATGATAATGATGTTCAGTTCTTCACCTGTCATTATGATGCCCACTCGTCATGATACATCGCTTTAGCAATTGTTTTGTCTTTTCATTTTTCCAAGGTGATTATGCCCTGCCAGCGACAGGTACAAGTTTGCTAACAGTAGAATGGCTTTGCAAATAGCAGAAGCTTGTAGGATCTTACCCTCATAAGCAGACTCTCTTTAAATATAACGCATTTTGTTAACTCGAGTTAAGTAATGACATTTTCACCAAGAAATGAAATACTTATGAAGTGGGTTTTATGATGCTTCAGACTTTATGAACACACATTTTATATAATCATGCTAATCAATTCCCAGCAATACTAACAATTATAAGTCGCATAATTTAAAGAGTGTTTTTAACCTAAAACATTGCAATATTTCACTCACTTGAAATATATATTGTTGAGCACTGTTTAAGCACTTAAATCTTGAGACGAGTGATTCCAGTAACTCTAACTAATATTTTGTGTACTTACTATACAGATGAATTGTAACTGTACAGTAAATCTGATCAAATGTTATTGACAGTACTATTTGTAAATGTATTTCAGTAATGTTTTCTTAATGTTTGTGTGTCTTTTGCTGTGTCGGTGTAATCATGCATATGCTTAAACTGAAATATATCCGCATTCAACTGTATTATATTTTCTTTTAAGTCCTTTGTTTTAATTTGGACTGATGTTCTTTTGTGTGAAGGCGAAGTTATTGGCCATATGGGTTGATTTTTTTTTTTTTTCATTTTGATATAGCCTTTTTTACAACATGAATAAATGTATGTTGTTTTATTGAGAAATTCTATGTCCATAGGTCATGTTTTGTTTAAAAATTGCCATATATGGATGAAAGTTTTTTGGAAACAGTAGGACCACTTGGAGTGGAAACAATACAGTATGTCTGTACAGTATTGTAACAGTAACATACAGAATGTCTCTCATGTAATCACTTGAATTCCATGTTTTGTAAATTTAGGACCCTTGTGTTATATTTATGATCCAAATCTTCAGTAGTATGATAGCAACTATGCCAGAATAATCAGGTGAGCTACAGCGAGGCATGCTCTGAAAATATTGTGAGAAATGTCTTTTTAAAATCCTGTGTAAATAAAGTCCAAGGAACAAATTACCAAACTGTAAGTTACCTTTGCAATACAGAAGCCAGGAAGGATGTTCATCAGGTGTCTATTTCCTCCGTTATAGGTACTGCTAGGAAGGGCATGAGTGCTGCAGCCCCGAGTCCCGACGATGGTGAGACGCCCACCAAATCCCGACTGGAGGCTATACCAGCGCCACCTACCAACACAAAGCTTGTCCTGTCTGGGGGAGAAGGCTATGTTGACTTTAGAATTGGTAAGTAGTCATCGTGTTAGAGGTTTGAAACATCAAAGTATTAATTAGGGAACAGTTTTGGCATCAGCAGTCTGAGCTTGGAAGGTTTAGAACAACAGTGACATTAACTAAAGGGGCTGAAAGCAGTTCGTTTAAGGAAGTTTGCCAACTAAGCTGAAACACAGTGTCTGTTATTTTCAACGACAAAACTGATGAAGCTTGTTTTAATCTAAAAAAACATCACTTCTTTCTTTGAGCAGATTACTTTTATAGCTAGATCCATGTTGGTTGTCCCATAGATTGTTGGCATAGAGGTGTTAGACATTGGCTATTTATTCTGTCTCTTCTCTACACAGGTTGTGATGATGATGATGATGATGAATTTGTAATATAGATGTTATATATTGACTACTCACTCCCTGTTCCCTATACAGGTGATGGTGATGATGATGATGATGATGATGATGATGAACTTGTAATATAGGTGTTATATATTGACTACTCACTCCCTGTTCCCTACACAGGTGATGGTGATGATGATGATGATGATGATGAACTTGTAATATAGGTGTTATATATTGACTACTCACTCCCTGTTCCCTACACAGGTGATGGTGGTGATGATGATGATGATGATGATGATGATGATGATGATGATGAACTTGTAATATAGGTGTTATATAATGACTACTCACTCCCTGTTCCCTACACAGGTGATGGTGGTTATGTTGTTGATGATGATGATGATGATGATGATGATGATGATGATGATGTAGGTGTTGTATTTTGAATGCTCCACTCTCTTCTCTCCACAGGTGATGGTGATGATGATGAGCTTGTGATAGAGACTGAGGAGGAGAAGAAGTCTCAACTGAACAAAGTAGACAGGAGTCATCTTATAGTCTGGCAGGTCACACAGGAGTAGCCCCCAAACAGAGCTCTTCACAGCAGCCAGCCAATCAGAGCTCATCGCAACAGCCAGACAGTTTGAGAACATCGCTACTCTCAGTTAGCTTGCTTTTTGCCCAACTACACAGCGAATCAGGATACTTTGTCCACCTGAGGTTGACCACATATTCAACATAACTTTAGCACGGATTCATAAAAAACAAAGGTTCTTCATGAAATGAAGGTTGAATTCTTAAGAAATATGTACCAAATCAAAGAAATTTTTGAAATCTTCAAGAAGTGGTTCCATTTGTGATGATATTGAAGTATGTATTGTAAAATCTATGGTTACATGAGCACTCATGTATGTAAATACTCAGAACCATATCCTGAAGTTGCTGACAGTTCCATTGGGCATAGCTGAAAGCCGCCTCCATTCTGCAGACCTCAATGCTTCAGTGCCACAGAGGCTCCCAATGGTGCTCTGTTGGGAGGCTTCCACTTCCATAGGATGAAGGACAATCAGACCAACTGCCATATTGGCAGTCCTCCATTCGAACAATGACAGATCTTGCACTTCATGGTGACAGCGATCCTCAATGGGAGATGGCTTCACGATGAGCATGCTGGAAAATGAGAGTGATTCATGATGTGTGCTTCATGATGACGGTGCTGTATGACAGCACGTCTTGATGAGTGCTTCAAGATGACAGTTCTGTATGTCAGCACATCTTCATGAGTGCTTCATGATGACAGTGCCATAATGAATGCTTTATGATGACAGCTTCATGATGACAGCATCATAATGAGTGCTTCATGATGACAGTTCTGTAGTGCTTCATGATGACAGTTCTGTATGATGACATGCACTTTATGGTGACAGCACCAAGATGAATGCTTCATGATAACAGCATCATAATGAGTGCTTCATGATGACAGTGATGTATGACAGCACCATAATGAGTGCTTCATGATGACAGTGCCATGATGAATGCTTCATGATAACAGCATCATAATGTGTGCTTCATGATGACAGTTCTGTATGATGACAGCACCATGGTGACAGTGATGTATGACAGCACCATAATGACTGCTTCATGATGACAGCATTTCATGGTCACTGTGCTGTAAAATGACAGCACTTCTTGATGAGTGCTTCATGATATCAGAACTTCATGAATTACTACCCACTAGTAATTACAACTGCTTTCAGTTGAACCATACATTGGCTTCTGAATGACCTTATCAGAAGGGCCAACATAATACTTGCTCCCTTGTGACCAGCAAACTGAAAAATCTGAACTCTGTGAATATAACATTATAATATACTACCGTCAAACTGGAAATTGTATGTACTACAAACCATTATGTTTGAAACCTTTAGGTTTGCTGGTTATTGCCAAATTGTATAAATGTTAGTCACTTTGCAAGTCTCTGCGCCAACTGATCAGAGGGGGATGTCATCATTATCTAAGCATGATGAATGTATCATAGTCTGTGCAGTGTATCACAGCCGTCTCACGTCTACGCAAATTACTCATGCGATATTCTGTATTATAAATGTCATAACATGCTTACTGTTCCAGCCTGACTTTAATATCACTTGGAATATACATTTCAGCCGAATGCAAAGTATATTTTTGTATACTAATCAAAATTAACCCCAAGGAGGAATACTAGCAATGTAAAGGACACCGAAGCCTGTGTTTGAGTGTCATCTCCTGTCTGTGAACGCTGGTGTATCATGTACATTTCATCAATCTTGTATATATGTTATGTTTATGTTCAGCCCACTGTGGATATATAGGATATATATCTATAAGCCACCACTGTGGATATAAAGGATATATATCTATAAGCAATGTCGACCTGCTTCCTCTGCAGCAAGGGGGACTGACGAGAATGTTCAGACAGTTTGAACATTGTATTGCACCTCTGTTGTTGCTTCGTAGTAATAATTTGTGGATAAGATGTTGACTGCTTTCTGCTACAAGACGGTGGTTATTGCATTATTACGGATAAAATGTCCATTTTATACAGCAGGCATGCATATAAGCAAAATGTGATGTTTCCCAGTGCTGTGTTTTCCCATATCTCTATTCCTTGCTCCTTTCCCTTGTATTCCCCTTTCTCTATCCCATGTCCCCACTCTCCACCTTCCCCGACCCGGGTTCGATTCTCCACATGGGTACAATGTGCGAAGCCCATTTCTGGTGTCCCTTGCCATGATATTGCTGGAATATTGCTAAGAGTGAGGTAAAACCATACTCACTCACTCACTCCCCCCCCCCACCACCTGGACAAACTACCAATAGTCTCCCCTCCCAACCCCTTACCCACACTCAACCTGCTTCTACTATCTATCCATAGGAGCGGGTGTTTTCCGCTCCCATTATACCCAGCCTCTACCATCTAGCATTAAGACTTGATGTTGGTTGTGCCCATGAGAATCAAATGAGTCTTTCCATTAGAAGTGGCGAAAGGTGGATAGCATAGTGATTGGTGTGTCTGCTTGTAAACACCACATGCTCTCATTCGAATCACTACATGTGGGGTAGCCTACTGGTTAAAGCCAAAGAACCGGGTTCGATTCACCAGATGGGTACAATGTGTGAAGCCAATTTCGCTCACCTACATGGTTACAACCTTGGATATCCACACACTTATTACATATGCTGTCAGTAATAATTTTTGAAGACAAGAACTTCCATGGGATGGCTTTCTAGTATTGACGTTCATTGGTATGCTGACATACTAAAACATCATTCTTAGTGCCAATGATATGCTGAAAGGCCTACTCGTCCAGATCTAAGACACAATTCGCAATTTGAAGAATTATAGCAAAAATCTATAAAAATTACTCCTGTGACTCTATCTCAGAGCGAAATAGATGGACTGACTATCTGGTGTAATACCTAGGGTACATTCAACATCAAGTAAGTGTTAGACAATCCCAGCGTGTGAAGGCTGTCATACTGACCAAATCCTTTCTCGGATTCCTCAGCAACCTTGACACAAGAGAATGTTCCTTTGCATTTCCAGTGCTATTTACCCTGTTGTATTTGCTATATTTATTTCCCCCTTGTGGACCGTCCCCATGGTTCCTGCCCACCTAGTCTAGAACCATCTTGCACCTGTATGTATGATATATGCCTTGTGAATACTGCAGCACTGGTTCTGGTGATATCATCAACTGACAACTATCAGCGATCAGATCAGTGTTGAAAACATTACCTGCACTTCGATGGTCTGTTCCCAGACCAAAGCTGATCTTGACAAGATTCTATTTTATTATTCATGAATTTCGCCATAATTGTCCACGCTGGACTTTTTAAGTAAGGTATTTTATGCTGCATGCAGATGTGCCCTGTCTGTCACTGTGGGCTTATAGTGGAGGGTTTGTAGACTTCTAGAATATATCTCAATATGCGACATCTTCACAGGTCAGGTGTAGACATGGCAGTATTTCTCCAACTACCTCCAATCTTGAATTGATTTTGGTCAAGGAAATCTTGTTTCCAAGGGGCAGTGGGGTAGCCTAGTGGTTAAAGCGTTCGCTCGTCATGCCGAAGACCCCTGTTCAATTCCCCACATGGGTACAATTTGTGGAGCCCATTTCTGGTGTCCCCCACCTTGATAATAGTGCTGAAATATTGATAAGATCAGCATAAAACTAAACTCACTCACTCACCCATTGTGTCTAAGCATTCAATCATGTAATATTCTTGACAACTGTTAACTTCTTTCAATATTAATACATCATAGTGATAATTATAGTTTGGTATAAGTTCTGGATTGTCTTTAATGATGATGCAGCATATGAAATCATTAGCTGCTGAGTTTTAGTTAAAATGCTTCCTGTACATTTTCTAAAGAATGTCATTGATGAATAGTTTCTTTATATCTTTTCCGAATAACAGATTCTGATGCTTCTCTCACAAATAATGTTGATACAATTGTTGTAAATTGGTAAATATTTTGTTCTTTCCCTGACCTGTGAAGATGAAAGTTTGGCCAATACTCATGTATTAATGAACAAGTTGTGAGGCAGGTTCTCCCAAGTATAAAGGGATATTTATAATAGTAATAGTGGCATAGTTTCCTCAAAATATGATGAAAGTAACATCAAAATATTTATATGGTTTTAAGATCATATATAGACAAAAAAAAAACTGGTGATGATGCTAGACAGTAACTTGTTACATGTTGAAGCTCATTCAGTTCTTCCTGGACAGTATCACCGATTCCGCAACCTTTTTCTCCGTTAGAGCAGCATCAGCTTCAGTGAAGGCTTGGCATGCAAATGATGGCTATTTGTCCCAAATTGTTCAATATGTACACCAGGAAAAATGTCCAGATTTTCTTGTGATCCAGCGACTTTGTCTGCCTAACCAGGAGGTGAAGACGATTAGCCAATTTAGTGCAATATTGCTCTACCTCTTTGGAACTTTCAACATCCACATTGCTTACAGTTGTCAAGTGTTCAGCATACTTGAGACCAGCTCTCATTGTGTGAAAATATCCATGCTGGATCTGTAACCATTATGTTTAAGCTTTGATTTTTTACTTTCTTTTCTTCCTGAAATAATTATGATTATTGATCATTATTTGCTTCTGACAAGTGTGAAATACCTTTCCTAACCTTTAGTGTGTCTATATTTGGAATTTTAGCAGTTATCATGCAACCTGTTTTATTCAAATCTTTTACCAGTTTGGAAAACTAATTTTAATGATTTAACTCAGCCATTTTAGTTTGAGTCCAACTTTGTATGACAATGTGTGTGTGTTAAAAGATCCATACTCTGATCAGGTCTTTTGTAAATGATACATTTCTGTGACATTTCAACAAGTAGACGGTTTCTGATTTCAAAGTATACTGTGCTGATGCAATGCCAAGTCATCTTCGATGGAACTTTGCACAATTGTCGGTTACCATAGCAATCATATAAATGGAATAACAGAATAAATGTATATTTAAGTGGCTGCACTGTACTATCTGAGCCGAATGGGGTCTGTATGAAATTATCTATCAGTCAGTGGTTAATAAAGCAGCATTCTCTGTTTAACTTGTTTGTTTGTTGTTATTGATATTTATGAATGATGAAACTAGTAATGTATTTGGTTTTAAAAATTGATTTAAGTCAATTTATTTGATTTGTTTTCAGGTTTGTTTGTTGTTTAACCCCACGCTCTGCAATGTTCCGGTAATATGATGCATATCATTGTAACAGTCTGTAAAAATCAAGTCAGAACCTCAGTGAACCATGAACATCAATTCAGTGATTGCCACCATGCATCAACCAGCAATCTGGCACAATTGACACAAGTAGCCTAATGGTGACTTGGACCAGTGGGTTCATCAACCAATGCAAGCCTGGTCCCCACCGTGATGTTGCTGGAATATTGCTAAAAGCATCGCTCACTCACTTTCTCTAAAGTGACACATAAAGATCTGTTTTAGAATTGGTCTTCAGCAACCCATGCTTGTTGTAACAGGCGACTAAAGGGTGGTCAGACTCGCTGACTTGGCTGACACACGTCATTGTATCCCAGTTGCGTAGATCGATGCTCATGCTGTTGATCACTGGATTGTTTTGTCCAGACAAGATTGTTTACAGACAACCGCCATATACTAGTAGCTGGAATATTGCTGAGTGCAGTGTTGAACAACAAACAAACCAAAATCTTTTTAAAGCACAGGTTGCTGAAGACCAGTTCTAACCTGGATCTTCACTGGTTTTGTGTTCTGGTACACAAAAGTCATATTGTACATATTTTTATTCTTGAAGCATGAAAATTGATGCTTCATCATTCACAGGGTGTGCCTGATACACATAACGGTCCAGAACAACAACCACCTCCACGGTAGTGGTGTCCGCCGAGAGCGGAAGGTCGCAGGTTCGATCCCCTCGACCGCGCCATACCAAAAGACATTAAAATATGGTACTTGTTGGTCCCTGCCTGGCGCTTAGCATTAATGGGTACAACAAGGACTGGTCGGCTCGGAGTCAGTATAATGTGTCTGAGTGGGGTATTCATGCTTCACTGCGGCATGGTATCTCAGTGGGCTAGCACTATAAAACCAGCTTAAGTCTGGGCTAGTACAAGCAGCCGCACATACACATACACACACATGTCGTCATATGAGCGAAATATTCTCAAGAACCAGGATAAACCCAATTTCACCTCACCTCACCTCACCTCCAGAACAACAACTGTCTGAAATTAGACTACACACAATTCATCATAAACATTTCACAATAGTATGCTTAATCTTGGAATGAATTAAGAACTAGAATATACACTACTAGTGAGTAAATAGGGTAAATATTGCCAAATATCAATGTACTGTATCTGGAAGTCTCAAATGAGTGATTTTTTGTGACCGTCCCACCAATATGTTGTATACTTTCTACAAAGCATCATTATGCACAAGATGTAGACCCATACCCAATACCTGGTTCTACACTATATAATAGGCACAGATATCACACAGCATAGTACAATATATTATGTGACTTCACTCCACACCAATTAACACTTGCCAGGCACTTCATACTAAACAAATACACCACATTTTAAGGGCTGCATTCAATGCCTGCAGCCAGGATGTCATTGTGTTGGGTACTATCTCGGTTTCCACGAAACTCTTTTGCAACTGAAATCGAAATCTTGTGCCATTACATTTTACAGCACAGTCAAGGTGTCATGTAAGCATGTTCATTTAATAAACTTTCAGGATCTGGATCCGCCTATGCCTGAGATTGGTTTGGTTTGGTTATTGTTTAACGCCGCACTCAGCAATATTCCAGCTATATGGCGGCGGTCTGTAAATAATCGAGTCTGGACCAGACAATCCAGAGATCAACAGCATGAGCATCGATCTAATTGGTATACGATGACATGTGTCAACCAAGTCACTGAGCCTGACCACCCGATCCCGTTAGTCGCCTCTTACGACAAGCATGATTGCTGAAGATCATTTCTAACCCAGATCTTCACGGCTAGTGTCACGTACGAACAGCATTGTAGGTAATGTAACCAGTTACAAGGGCTACCCACGTCCAATTCAAACGGCGACGTAATGTGCGACAAATGTTCACCGGCATCCTCCGAAACAGCATCTCTGGAAAGACGAAGGATACCTGGTCAGACGACCGGAACGGCCTTCGTGTCTCCGAGATTCAAGGACGAGTTAAGATGTATGCTGCATCGACTGGACAGACAGATGTTCCGACTTCCCATGAACGTCTTGCTTATAGGACCCCTGAAGATCCGGGTTAGAATTGTGTCTGAGCAACCCATGCTTGTAAGAGGCGACTAATGGGATCGGGTGGTGAGACACGCTGACTTGGTTGACACAGGGCATCGTATCCCAATTAGATCGATGCTCATGCTGTTGATCACTGGATTGTCTCGATTATTTACAGATCGCCGCCATATAGCTGGAATATTGCTGAGTGTGGCGTTAAACAACAAACAATCAACAATCCAAGAAGTATATTTCAGTTGGGTTCACACTTGGCATTAATGAAGAGAGATGGGGTTTTAACTTCTACCGCTGTTCGGCAGCAGAAGAATAAAGATGCTTAATTTAACACGTGCTTACGTAGGGAGTCCCTCGAGCAGGTAAGCACCTTAAATGTGGCCTTCTGGGTGTTTGGTGGGATTTCTGCAATCCCCACTCCAGCTTCAAACAAGGGATTGCCGTCGTCCTTGCCTTCAGCGGGAGAACTGGAAGGAACAGGCAAACATGACCATTATGTCGTGCCATCAGAACTCCGTGGCACTGGTTTTATTTTTCTTCTCAGACTTCTACTTCATAATGTTTGTACGTTTGTTTTTAACGGCGCACTCAGCAATATACCAGCTGTATGTAAATAATCGAATCTGGACCAGACAATCCAGTGATCAACATCATGAGCAACTGTATACGTAACTTTGATACAATGACATGTGTCAACCAAATCAGCGAGTCTGACTACCCGATCCGAATGGCTTTACGCCGCTTTTAGTGATATTAAAACAATATCACGACAGGGGATACAAGGAATGATCTTCACACAATGTACCCATGTGGTTAATCCAACCCGGGTCTTCAGCGTGACGAGCGAACGCTTTATCCACTCGGCTACCCCACCACCCCGAATTAAGCATGAAGGTTATGGCATTCTTGGGGGCTTGCGGTGGTTTGGGGGTAGTATGACTAAATATACTTAACAGCAAAAGAAACGCAAGTTTAAAAAAAGAAGAAATCTCATGAAAGTAAGCGCTCATGTTTATGGAACGTTCATGGTAAAGTGACGTAATGATCCCAGATGAGATGATGTCATGCAATTTGACGTCCATACGAAACAGTCACACAAACACACCCACAGTGCAAAACCATAACTTTGGCACGTGCATCGACGGTTCTGGATGGAAAATATGCATTTCACTCTGAGGTATCCTTTATAAAAGTTTGTGTCAAAAAACAGTTAAGTATTGACGCTAGGAGGTGTACACGCCACACAAACGATGCCTTGACTAACGACTGAGCAGAGGGGAATGACCATTGGAAAGTTGCACGGAGGTAGCTCTGCAACCGCTGTAGCTTGACAATTGGACTGTCATCTTTCCACCATTACACGACTTGCTCAACATCATCAGCAAACCGGGGTTGCTGCTGATCGTCCCCGTACCAGACTCATGCGCAAGATCCGTTCATCCGGGTCACTCATCTAAGGAACCGAACTCAAGCAGCAACAGTAACAGCAGCCTTAGTTCATGGGTCAAGGGGAACAGACAGCGAGTGTCCAGCTGCTAGAAACTACTGCCAACGGCCATATGTGCAGCCAATTTTGACAGGTCAACAACGCCAGCGACGTTTACAGCCCTCACACAGCAAAGGTGTCGATGGATTATCTGGCTCAGAACAACTTTAATGTTCTTCCATGGCCGTCTCGTTCCCCGGATATGGCTCCCTTTGAACATTCTGGGACGGCATTGGACGCAGGATTGCTGCATGTAGACATCCACTCACACTTGCACAGTTGGAACAGAGATTGGTGTTTGGGTGGAACAACTCGCCTCAGGCATTCTTTCAGACTCCAGTGAACTCAATGAGGCGACGTTGCAGGGCCTGTGTGCAAGCTCAAGGTGGCTATGTGTGCTGCTACAGAGACTGTCACTTTTCGCGTTGAGAGGTATCTCCATTTGACGGACTGTCAAAATTTTGGTTGTCTTCTATTTAAAAACTTGACAGACTTGCGTTTCTTTTGCTGTTCAGTATATTTTATGATATAATACAATTATTCTCTGAATGTAACATGCAAAGAAGATGGGACGTTATCCGCCTGAAACATGAGGAATATGTCTCAAAGTTATCAGATAAAGGTTCATAAAAGTTTTAAAACGACATTTTATGAAGAAATATTCAATGACATTTATGTAATATGAACACAAAGAATGTGCTGCCAGGATCAATATTGTTCATATTAGTGGAATTTGAAACAGACAATCAGATCTAATTTGTTACTTTTTTCTGGGGCAGTGTTTCAGATGAATTTGATGCATAAAATATTTGAAACTCAATTCCGTGGTAGCAGACTGTTTTCATCTGTAATCCTAGATCCCTTTTAAATATATCAACAATACGTTCATTCCCAGTTAGTTTACACCTATACACAAGCAGATCCGACCTGGTGGTCGGTGGAGGGTGCCTGGAGTCATATGATACCCTTGCATATTATATCATCGGCTTAATCGCGACAAGATACTTTCCACATCCATTACAAATCTATGCTGAAATTGAGTGAGTGCTTTTTCGCAATATTCCAGCAATGTCACGCAGTGTGCGAAATAGTTTCCAGATTTTGCTAGCCAGTCGGGTTAGCTATGCTTGAAAGTTACTAGCCCACAAAATAATTCACTAGCCCCAAATTTGAATGTAGAAACTAAGCAAAAGATTACAAAAGGTAAAATACCATCAAAAACAAATTTAAAAATACATGTCTGAAATTATTTTTTTTATTCTCAACTAAGTCATCATTAAGCTGAAAATGTGATGAACATTTTTTATCAGACC